TAAGCCAGCATTTTGGTGTTGATTTTATCATATAAACACCCTTATACTAGTTTAACTTGGAAATTCCAAATCCATTTAAATTTCGTTTCCATTCCATTTACAACATACACATACGGTCATGATATTTTTGCTAAATACCACGATCACTAGTAATGGGCAAGCGCGGGATTCATCACGTGATGTTCTGGATAATTCGGGCCAATGCCATAATTCCGACTGAAACTTACAGTAATCTCGGCAAAACCGTGATTTGCCCATCTCTACCGATCACTATATCAAGATCATGGGATATTTTTGAAAAAATACAAGGTCTAGCATTTCCGATCAAATTATTAGAAAATGAATTCTTTTATTTAAAGACAATATAAAAAGTATTTATATCTTAAGCAGTCACTATTTTACAAAAAAGTGACTTCAACGAGGGTTCAAATTACTAAAAGTGGGCAAATCTCCCGAACTACGAATCAGATTTCAAGATTAACTAGTGATGGGCAATGCGCGCATGATTTTTATAATGCCGGCGAAGCAATATAATGCTGGTAGATAATATGAGCCGGAAATTTTCAATATATTCCGAACCCTCATAAAGATTCCGAAAAATTCCCATACGCATGAAACGCGAAAAAATTGGAATTTGCACATCACTAAACGCAACACGATCAGGAAGATTCAAAGCAAACGTTCGTTTTTGCCAAAAGTTGCTCATAGCTCAAAAATCAGCATAAGAAGCCACATTTTATGCTTTAACAAAAAGTTTTCATTGAACAATTTCATTATATAAACTATCTCTCTACAGGTCATTACTTGACCCTAACCTTAACGAAATTTTAATAACTTAGTCTTCGCCAACATTTATGATATGCAAATCAGCTAGTAAATTCAAAAGTGGTCAGACTACTTAACATCCTTAGACACGGGCATTGGCACTATTTTTTAATATTACGTGAGACATGTAATTGATATTACGCAAGATTTACGTTAAGATAAAATCAAAAATAATGAAAATTATATAAGGCATAGTAGTACATGCATAATGTCTCATGCATTATATTATTCGTTTTAGACAGTTTTTTGACGTTTCCGCCATGTCAAATCCTTAATTGAAAAACTAAATTTACACGTTAGTAATATTTGTGTTCAAAAATGGTCAGAACACTAAAGTCTAGTACATATTACATTTGCATTTACGAATTTTAAGTTGGCAGCAATACTCTTCCTCATGCGATATGATCTACAGCAATCAAAAAAAAAAAAATGCTACGTAATATGTCACTTAATTAACCATAATGCTAATAACCTTAACTTTAAATTTTATAAATATAGTTTTCTTTACTATCATATGATAATAAAATTATGTAAGCGGTCAATTTATTGCCCAAGTTTTCTCTAAACCTATCACGGAAAAGAACTACACATGTTAAATTTTATAGCTTTGTTCGTAAGTAAAAATCCGAAAACTATTTGTTTGTAAACAATTTTATAAGTTTAAATGATAGCCTACAATATATTTATATAGGTTGATCTTAGCAAGGTTACACGAGTTAAAAAGAAAAATGCGACTTGTAAAACTGAGGATGGATAAATCATGAATTTTTGAAATTTCATGTGCTGCATGAAATACACAATATCTGTGGCACTTTACAATCGGAGTTATAAGCATATATCAAAGCCTTCAGACCCTCAAATTTCCTGTTATACTGTGCATGATGTCATGATGCGCAGTCAATTTAACACACTCGGAAAATGCATACCGGGTTTGTGACCCAAACAAAATTCTTCAAATTCGTTAAGGTTAGTGTTAGTGTCAGGGTTGTAAGTTAGAGGAGAGTATTTAAATAGTAAAACTGTTGAACGAAAAACTTTTTATTAGAGTACAAAAAGTATCTGCGCCCAAACACGAAGATAACTATATATAGGATTGGATTCAATTTTCCTTAAAATTTGAGACTCTAAATTTATGCATACCTGGTTGTTTCGTTTACTGAGTAAGTTTTATATTACTTCTTTATTTGGAATTGAAGTGCATTCCTTTTCACCTCTTGTTTATTTCTTAAACCATCAATACTTCAATTTCAGATCACATCTTCGTCACAGTCTTATCGCATAATAATACATTTTATTAGAATAGTAAGTTTAATCTCTATTTAAGAATGTTGTTCTAGTACCCACTGATTATTACTATAATAACCTTCCAAGTAAAAATGTTTCGAAGATTAAATTTACTGTAATGTTCTATTAAAATTATGATTAGTTTGGCAGTTGCAGGTTTTTACATTGCAACAACTTATTTTTTTTGAAGAGCATATAGCAGTATCTTATCTTCCTCAATAGTTAAGATATTGTGATTGTTGATTTATTCAGGCTCCAGTAGGTGTGAAAATTTCATTAGTAGATATAACAGAGGTTTCCATTCGAACTTGCGTTCTTCTTAATATTATAATATAGATATAGAAAATTTACTGCTGTTACATAAATTCTGGAACAGCTGAAAAATTTCTGATGTCCAAATCGATAAGTCTCTGAGAAGGAATTAATAAGTCACTGACATAAGCTGAAATAATTTATTCATATACGACTTTCAGATGTCCCATAATTTATCAAAAACGACTATAAACGATAATAACTCTCAACTATTAACTTTATAAAGATAGAATTAAATTTATTGAATTCCCTAATCGGTTTAACTATATGAAAAAAAGACAAATGGAGGCCTGCACGGGCTGGACCAAAATTTAAAAATTTCAAAAACCTCTCAAAATTGCGGGCCGGCAAAAGTTTAAATTTTTAGGCCTGTGCAGGTACCTAGCTCTATTTATTCTTTAAATCGAGGAATTCAATAGATATAATTTTATGCACATAGATTAGTAGTTTTCTATAAAAAAAGGTTATTAATTTTTGCTCGACTTTGTCAACATTGTTCAAAAAATTTTTGGTAAGGAGTTCTATAAATATAAATACGGAATAAAACTATACATCAAAAATGTATTATTTTTGCACTATTTTATACCTATAACAACTACTTTCCAAATATCCTTTGAATGATACCAACAAAAGCTGAATAAAATCTGATAACCTTTTTTTTATGGGGTGTGAAGTTATTACTGTTTAATTTTCTATATTTTATTATTAAGAAGGACCGACAAAGAATCCTCATTATTTGAATTTACTATTTTAATTTACACTTAGTGATGTGCTATTTATATGATACCCGAATTTTTTCGCGTACAGTACGTACAGTGAATATCTAGCGATTTGATTGGTTAGTAGAAAGGATCGACAAAAATTTTCGCGTACAGTACGTATAGTACTTTACGTGGCACATCACTATATGAGTGTTGCTGAAAGAAAACCCCGAAATTTTAAATATAAGTCAAATTCAACTTTTCGGGGTTTCTTTTAGCGACACTCATACATTAAACCGATATTGAACACCCCAAATCATCGAAAATCTTTCACGACCTACTGGAGTAGCAACATCATTATGATGTTATTTATCCACATCTCAATGAATAATTTATTATCATAACATCTAAAATACAATTTAAAAGATCATTTGGCAACGATCTTTAATCATTGTCCGAGTAATATCTAATCCAAATATGTTTCATCACGAAGTTGTTTTTATGTAAAGTTATGTAGAATTTTTATGTAGGATTATGTAAAATTTTTACACACCTTCACAAAAACTTTATAAACCCAATGTAGGTTTACATATCTGTTTATATAAAGCTATATACATTTCTACGTAGAATTATATAAAATAGCAAAAAAATTTTAACTTGAATATTAAAGCTAGGATTAGATTTTAAAATTTAAATTAGGGGTTTGGGGAAGGTTTTCGAGCATGCTGAACATTTTTACTTAGTGCATCGATCGGTGATTACCTTGGTCACTTTTGAGAAATTGCTGAAGTAAATTAAATTATTTTTATGTAGATATAAATAAAATTTGCATAGATTTTATATTTATATAAATAATAAAGAATATTATATATAGAAATTACGTAGTTTATGTATAAAAATTTTATTATATAAGTCTACATTGGGTTTGTAGCCCTATATAAAATTTTTATATAATATTTATATAACTTTATAGAGCTATATAAAGTTTATAAAAAATCAACTTTGTGATGTATTATTATAATAGATGAGAAATATATTCCAACATGGCCTACCTATTGAACTCATAATACATATTTGTAAATATGTTGAATGTCCGATGAATTTGGCACTAAGTTGCAAGCGATGGTCTTTGGTATGGAAAGATTCTCAAGTGAAAGCAGAATGGATTATTTTCAAATATGGAAGAGCACACTGTCTTTTTCACTCTATAAGATTAGGCCCCAAGTTTATCTCTGTTGAAGTTGCTCATGCTATTATTACTAAAGGTGGAATTCTTTCAAGATATTTTGCGCAGCGTCTTCTCATTCATTACGGAGAATATGATCAGAAGCTTATCGAATTAAAGGCCTCCCATAATATAGGACAAAGCGATCTGGAAAAAATACAAACCAATACTCCCTGGGCTAATAACTTACCGATTACTGTTTGTATATTTTTAATCACAAAAGCTTACAATCTTTTTAAAGATAAATTATGCATAAAAGGAAACGATATAGAACTTTTTCACTTTCTCTCGGGAGGCCCTCATACTATTAATTATGCACCAGCAATTTTAGAAAAAAATTTAGATGAAATCAGGGATTTAATATTGATCATGAAATTTATACCTTTCCACCAAGAAAATCTAATGGAACGCAAATTAATTCCCCAGAAGAGTATCCACCAAAAGATGGTCATGAAAACAATAGGCAACTTAATGTTATTGCCAGAGCAATTTTGATCCATAAAGATTTAGTAAACCTATGGAAAAAGATTGGTTATTATGAAATCTGTGAAGATGTTAATGGCCTTGTAATGCAAGGAGCTTTTCTAATTCTTTTCCCACCTGCACAACCTCATGGATGGACTAAACCTGAAGTTAAAGCTGTTAAAGAACGACTTTTAGAATTAATTGATTTGGGATTCAAATTAAATTATGACATTATCATCGAAATTTTTCATCTTTTCGAACGTCGATTAGATGAAATTGGAAAAATCTTAATAGATTCTTTTAAAGAAATTAAACAAGAAACACAAGAAAATTTTTTACATAGATGTTTAAGTGAAACACAAAATCCAAATATTACAAATTTTCTTCATAAATATCTACAAAATAATTCCGAATTGAATGTCAAAAAACATCAAATAATTATCAAGAGTTTGAGGTATCTATAGATTATTAAATTGGGACCTTCTGCAATATAGGTGGCACCTATTCTAAATCAATTGTTTGTCCGTCGCTACGCTCCGGACACTCAATTTTTACGCACTGTGATAAAAAGTTACGTTTTACCATGAAAAATTCTTTTTTGATTCGTCAGTATAATTACCTTAATCAAATATATCAATATCGTAATTTGAAAGTTTTTGTCTGTCCGCACGCGTGATTGCAAGATTATTTTTGAACAACAAACACAACAAACACAACAAACAGGTTATTGATTAGTAATACGAAATTCATTAATTTATTTATATAATACTTTATTTATTTATGCTTCAGATTCAGATTCTTAGTTATAATCTATATTGCAAGTGATCTTTTAATTGTATGCATACATATTTTATTATCATTTAGTATTGTTATTATTTTATACCTTAATAAATTAGATAGTTCATGCTAAAACCATAAATGAATATTTTTTGTTAAATATATTATGTGAATTATACAATGTATTGTAAGAAGTAATTATTGACATAAAGATTGATTTTTTTTTATTGTTAAAGATCATAATTCATGTGATACTTTTATTGATATATTGGGGTTAGGTATTACAACTATTTTTACAATGATAAGAGTATAATTAGTCACATGTGTAATTTTTGGCTGCTTATTTAAAGTAGTTTATTTTAAGGTTTTACACTAGTTGCCATTCCTGTAATTTATTAGAAAATTATCTATTTAAACTTTTAGATCATCTCACAAGTCAAACAAAGGAATATTAGTATCATATTGGCATTTTTTAAATCTAATATTAGCCTGATTTTAGTTAAAATTTTGCTTTAATCAGAAATCTATAGGATATAAATCAGTGTTATATTATCTTTAATAAATATTAGCAGGCTAATAGCTCTATAGATGAATTAATAATATTATTGATCAATTGATTAATAGCTAATAATCAATTAATTGATAACATTATTTATTCATTTATAGAGTTATCAGTTTTCTGATATTTATTAAAGATAATATGATATTGATTTATGTTATATAGGATTCTGATTCAAGCAAATTTCAACTAATATTAGACTAATATCAGGTCTCAAAAATGCTGATATGATATTGATATTTTTTTGTTTAACCTGTGCTTGCTTTATTAATTATTTTTAATTGTTACAAACCTTATATACATTCTTTTTTATATATATTATTTGGGTAATATGCATCTTCTTTAGCATATATATTATTTGTTATTAGAAAGTTACCTGTTAGTAAGACTTAAAATATTTCTTTGTTAACTAAACTACTTACTCTACAAACCATTAACTTAGTTATAACCTTGTAAAGTTTATCTAAACCTTAATATTTACTTTATAGCATATTTTTAGTACTTTAATATACTTTGCTTTATTTTTAAATTCCTAATCTAAATAACTCAAAAAGACTATAATTTGTTCTTAATATATCAAATTTAATATAATATTTTTTTTTTAAATTGAATCTAACAAACTGGTTAGTATTATTTCGTATCTAAAGATTATTATTTATCTAATTTCTTTATATTGGTATCTGTTTAATAGGTCTAAGTTTTAAATGATGCTATTAAAGATCTTTATTATTTTTCTATTTAGAATTTTCTAAGTAGGTTTTTATTTTTTAAGTTTTATAGATTTACATATTTACGTAGACTTATCTTGAGTTTGTATTGTTAGATATTAAATACTGTAATACTAGAATATCATAACTAATTATATAAAAAATACAAGAAATATAATAAGTTATATTTGTAATCAGAAATGGTATTTCAGATACAAAGATAGAAGAGAAAAAAATAAAAACAAATTAAATATTATTAAGTATATTAAATAGATTATTGTAAATAATATTAGGTAGTCTTAAAGAAATAATAAGTAAGAGATGTGATGACCTAGTAAAGTGGTTAGGTTGTCAACCTCTAAGTGCCAGGTCCAGAGTTCAAATTTCAGTATCTATGAAAAATTTGAAAATCCTCATTGTGTTATGGTTAACTGTCTCTTGCAATTAGTTAGAATAAGACACCTGTTATTTATATCATATCAGTATGACTGGCAGGTCACATGGTATTCATGTAACAGTCATATGATATTGTTTTTTGGGACAAGAACTGTAGTTACACAAAAGAATACAAATCAATACTGGGTGGTACAAACTTATAGTAATTTCTTATGACCATGTAAATTATAGAAACTAAAAGAAGAAAGACAAAAGTCCACTTGAAAAACCTGAGTAAAGAAGTAATCTGAACTTTTAATAGTATTACTATAAAGACTAGACTTATAAAATAGAGCTAGAACTTGTGAAACTGGTCAAATGTGCTGATCTTTAAGGAAGGACTAGATGAACCAACCAGGTTGCCAGAATTTCTAAGTTCTAGAGAAAAAGAATACATAGCAGCATATATGTAAACCAGAGATATATGATTTTAATCTACCTTTTCAGGCTATATGGAATGGCAGCTTGATGGAATTTGAATTGAATATCAAAGTACTAAGGATATGTTATAAAGTTAGTATCAGAATTGGAATAAACTCTATAAGAATATAGCAGTTTAATGATATGTTCTAACCACTAATGTTGGTCTTGGTTATAGTGATACCAGATCAACTATAAGAATAGGATACAGAAGATTCTGAAAGGTTTAGTACAAGGTCAAAGGTTCCAAAAAACTGTTTTAAAGACTTAGTGGCCATATACATTTTTACTGGCATTGATCAGAATTATTGGTAGACAGAAGTAAGTAGGTGGATATAGAAACAGAGTGGTTAAATAAGGAACCTACAAGTGGGTTCCAGGTATGGCAACTAGTGTAGAACCTTTGGGCAGACTATTTAAATTAAATAATGACTAAAGTTGTATAAATGACTAGTTGTGCACTCTCTTCATGGTTGCCCCCTGTAGTTGTAATGTAATCATTAGCCAATTATACTAGCAATAAAATCCTGGGTTGCAAGTACTTACCTTAGTATTAAAAAAAAAAAAAATTTTAATAATAAGTACAAAATTATATTTGTGACCAATAAATTTAGTATTATAAATAAAAATCAAAATAGCCCTGACACATCTGACTATAACAATTACAAAATCTCTTTCTGCAAATCCATTGTACAAAAATTAACAAAAAATTTCTTCATCTAAAAACTCTTATACTATTTATTTTACTAAGACAACCTGTTCTGGGCTCTTAGATAAACTTGTTCAGCATATCATTTTATATATATCCTGCAAATATTAAGCTTTAATAATTTAAACTCATTAAGAAAACTGTACTAATGGCCTTTGGCCTCCACTTTATAACTTTTGATCATCTTGCAGTTTTTATTGACTTAACCTGTTCTATACCCTTAATTAAAGTTGTAGTATACAGTCACTCAGTCAAAACAAGTTCTAAACAAAGATTTTTGACCCAATATTAGTCGAATTACAACTAAATTTAATATTTACTATCTTGCAAACTCTTTTTCTACTTTTTGTTCTTACCCTATCTTCTTTTTTCCTTACATATTTTTCATATAACAATACAATCATTTTCAAATCCATATCTTATTAATTTATACCAATATCTGTAACCAACCTATTTATAGATATTCATTCAACACAATCTATTATTATTATATTTGGTTCCTATCTACATTACACAATAATTTGTATTACAAATTACAGTTGTATCTAGTACCCAAGTCACAGTAGTGACTCTAACTATTTTAGTTACACTTTAGCATTACTCCAGTAACATTTTCACAATACAACTCTTGTTTTTATTTACTACTCTTGCAAAATTAATACTTATAACCATATTTGTTATTTAGCAAAATTCTCAAAATCTTAATTCTCTTCTTCTTTATTCTTATCTAATCTGCAAATACTGCAAAATGACTATATTAACTCATCAAAAGCCTGATACTGCAGACCTTGATTACTTCTACCAAAACTTCTTTGACAGTTTTAGAATTGCTCTTTATGAAGAAGAACAAGGCAACAAGACTTATCCAATTTCTTCTAAAATTCAACCAACCCTTCTGCTTAACAAAAAATCTTCAATCACATAAGATTACACATTTTTTTCAAGCTTCTTTCTCTATCTCTGTAATTATTTGTCTTTATGGCAAATATCACACCAAATTTATCTCACCTACCAATACCAACCACATTCAAGCTACTAATTTTACTATTGTTCACATTAATAGCAACTCCAAAAAACTTAACAAAACAAGTCAAGATCTTATATTTAATATTTCTTCTTCTATGAATAGTGTTCCTCCATCTCCTACATCTGATATATACTACCATACCTATCCAAAATACTCTGTTCCAATTGGTTGTACCAAAAGAAATAAGTGTTATTATTTTATCGAAAAATATATTACTAAAAACAACAAAGTCTATCATCTTACCTGTATGACTGTCTCATCTCAGCATGAAGCTAGTTCATCTCAAACTAAGAAAAATCTTATCTGAACTTTTTAAAATATCTTAATGGAATCTAACTGAAACACTAATCCCAACACCAATTTTTCTAACCAAACTTTCTCTGCTACAACTACTTATACTAATCCTATTTCTAACCAACCTCCTATTAGTAACATCACTGACAACTCTAACTTAAATCTTAACAACTCTAGTAATACTAATCAATTTGACAGTATTTCAAACAAACCTCCTCTACAAACCTACTCTAATATGATCAAACCAAAATCCAATCCCATATACAACTGGCTTACAAATTTTTCAATTATTGAAGAAATGCAAGCTAACAAAAAACTACAAACTACATCACCAAATTTTTAAAAGTGTTATATATCGATAATAATGTCCATATTATTATCGATATATAGCACCCCTGTCGGGTATTATCGTAAGTGATTATTAACAATATATAACAAAAATTCGTTAAATTTTTTCAAACTTTGATATTAATTTTCTCGATAACTATTGATCCAAATCGGTTTAAATTTTTACTGTAGATAATATATATGTTCAA